ATTCTCCACTAAACGAATACATAAAAGGAAGAGCGTTAAAAAATAATAATCAGTAAACAGGCTACATAAAAATGATAATAAATTTAAGTAAAAAAAAATATGTTCTTTAGTAGAAGAAACAGAAAACACATAAATAAATTAGTTAAAGCTACTAAATCCAGTTTTTTCGAAAGAAGGAATCCAATGTTACTAAAGAATGTAAAATATATAATTTTAGAGATGTTTTCAATCTCAAGGTCAGTTGGTGGTGCATAAGAACATAATTACAAAAGAAGTCTTAACTTTGCAGCTTAGAGACAAAGCCTGTTATGCAAATTGGAGAAAGCCATAGGCTTAAGCTGCCCTCTGGTGATCGTAACTGTCAACAGGCAAATATTGTTTAATTATAATATATGTATCTAAATTGAGTGATGATGATTATTTTTTTTAGAGGATTAAGAAAGAAAGCAAAAAAAACATTAACTTCAAATTAAATTCATAAGTAGACATTAAAATTTCAATATTTTTAATAAAGGTTTTGGTTTGCTGTTATGGGACATCGAATATGGAAGGAGAGGACTCATTAAGTACAGTGAGTATTACCTTATAACTGTTACATAGAATGAGTAATGATTTGAATAATGATTTTTTTAACACAGACATAGCACATTATACAATTAAAACTGTTTGGTAAATAGCATAGCATTAACTTTAAAAAGCTGTTAAGTCTAGGTAAAAGTAGAAGGGCTTGTAGCTTAAATCTGTGTATGCGTAAATAAATGCAATTTTGTGTACAACATTCTATAAAAAAGCAATTGAGTGTAGTTTTTAATTTTTGCTTGTTTCTAGGATATTCATGGATTTGACGTTCGAGCCATTTTCCATGATGAATGTACAAAGAATAAAAAATATTTCTATAAAGAGGATGATATACGCCGAAGGATTTACCTTCTACTTTCTAATAGTACAAATTTATCAGTAATATGTGTTAAGTTAATAAAAGAATTTATTTCGTACGTTGATAAAATAATAATAACAATGGAAAGAGATCCTCTTGATCTGATGAGCATACTGATAAGTAAATCTGAAATAATCACAGAGGAATACAAGTGTACGAATCTAACACCATTTTATTATTCACAGAACTTGTACTTGAAGCTAATTGTAACAAGAAAACAAAAGTTACTGCAATTGCTTATGAAGAAATAGAAAATAAGAGTATTGGAAAGCAACACATTATGTATACAACACAGCTAGGTTCAATAAGCGATTCATCAAGCTCAGATGATCTACTAGAAGATGATGATTATAGTTCCAATGCATCCCTTACTCGTAAGAGAAAGAGAAAAACATGTCAAAAAGCGGGGGAGTTTGACCTGGGAGGACATGAAAACAACTGTCACTTTGACAATACTGTGAAATGTCAAGTGGAAATCTTGATATTAGTTGGGAATATATCTTACTGTGAAACACTGGCCAAGCACCTTGGACTGATATGGTTTGAAGGTTTGCTGAAAGGAGAGGAAGACATTGACCGTCGTTTGCAAAATTATGAGAATAAAATAGGCTAGCTCACACAGAAATTATTAAAAAAATGATGAATGGCCACAGCAGCATCTGCATCACCACATCAACATCAGCTTGGGAGCACATACCAGCATGTACGAAAGGAATTATTTGCACAAGAGACAATGAACATAAATTGTTTGATTTACACCAGACGAACGCCAGTTACTGTGTTTTTGTCGAAGATAATATTGTAGCCTATGTAGATGCTATTAGTAAAATTGTTCAAAAATCATTGTTATGCAATATTTTAGTGGAAGTAAATTATCAAGTGGATCAAAAAACTTATACTAAAATCCACTTACCTATAACGGTTTTAATACCCTTTTACATTGTTAAATATTTCTCACAGAGCTTCATTGTGACACATGGAACTTGTTCAAATTCTAAAATTTTAGATATATTTGAGTTTAAGGCTCCATTTATTGATTCTTTGTAAATATATACTAATTTGATACTAATGGTTTGCAAAATTATTGTTCTTTTATGTTTAGTTTGTCACCTAAATTACTGATGATATGAAAATAAAAAATAAATTGTACGATACCTTTGTCTAATAAACATAATTAAACTTTATTTTTGTTTTGAAATTAATTTCCAACATTGTTCATAATTATTAAGAACTGTGTCAATAAGGATGACTAATTATACAAAGTTTTAAGATTTCAAGATGCGAAACTAATATAAAAACAGACGAAAAAGTTATACCTACACTTAAATACATATAAATAATCAAATGTAATTTTTTATATACTGCTTTCAAAAAAACGCTTAGAAAGGATTGCCGAATTTTGTTGAAATTGTCACCAATGATACCTTAGTAAATACATATAAACAAAATGAAGAAAGTTAGAACATAAAGTTTAACCACTGTCATATTTTTTTTTATTTCTTAAATGAAATGTTGCCGGTTAACGCATGACCTGTAAAAATTGCTTGAAAACTCTGACACTAAAACAGTGGTACGGTCTTAATGGATATTCAAAGAGTAAAGAAAAAATGTTAAAAACATTCTTAAAGCTAAGACTTTTTTAGATATGAGGCTACAAAATTCACCATTTTATTACCTTATTCTTCATACCTTTAACGTGTCAGTAAGTTGTACTGCTGGGTAAATCCACGATTTTTAAAAGTTGCCGCAAACTTTCCAATCAAAATTTCCAAAACTTTAATTTTGACACTATTCTTCAGCAGCCATATACAGGTCGCCAAAAGGTAACATTTATTATTCAATTATTGTAATTTATTTTATACTTCATTATAATGTTTTAATAGTTTAGTTTTTAGTTGAATGGAAACTTTCCAGAACAGTGTTTATTTCATTCTGGAAAATTCAAATTTTCTAAAATTGGAAAGTTTTCGCTGCTAATCACTAAGTAAATTGCTTCAGAATTGAGGCTTGAGTTCTGTGGCATAATTGATTTGAACATGTTTTTTAGATTTAACTACTTTTTATCATGCCTAAACTTTTCCTATGTGTTCTGTTTTTTTTTTTGACAGAGAAACGGTACGCTTAAGTATTTTTTTTTAAATGTAATGACTTTTTCTATTTTGTTTATATCAGGTTATTATTATTCTCACTATTTTAGACATAGTACACATTATCTCACTATCTACCAGACATTAGGTATTGCTAGAAGCTGTATATACTTTTTAATTGGTTTTTATATATTATTTGCAATAAAGGTTTGAGAAGCATTAGTCGGCTGGTGTTAATACACATTAAGGACAGGTCTATGTCTTTTTCGATTGCTAACTTTTGGTAAAACATAAATTTTTAGGATTCTGCCTTGTTTTGTAAGACGCCAAATATACCTCTTTGATTTGGTGTTGTTTTTCCTCTTTTTTACATGCGCCGAATGGCTTGGTCCAGAAACGAAAAGCCATTTGGAATGTTTAAAAACAACTCAAGTGCTCTTGAGATAATTTTGCATGATTTTGGGTGATTTTTAACGGTTTTATCATGTATCCAATTTTTGGTGGTCTACAGATATTTGGTACTTTTGTATTGGTGCTTTTTTAAGGATTTTAGATCGGTTGTTTACTTTTGTAAGAACAGCTAAATTTTTAGGGTTGTTTACTTTTGTAAGAACAGCTAAATTTTTAGGGTTTTGCCTTGTTTTTTGAAGACGCCAAATGCCCTGGTCCAGAAACAAAAAGCCATTTTGGGGTGCCTAAAAGCAAGGCATTTATAAGTTTATTAGATCTTTTTCGGTTGTTTACTTTTGGGAAAAAAATTGTAGGATTCTACCCTGTTTTTTCGTGTGCCCAATTTTTGGTGGTCTACAGATGTTTGGGAATTTTTGGGGTACATAAAAATTAATGCTTTTTTAGAGGTTTTAAGCCTTTTTCGGTTGTTTGCTTTTAGGCAAACAGCTCAATTTGTAGGATTCTGCCTTGTTTTTTAAGACGCCAAATGTCCTGATTCAGAAGTAACATTTTATACTCTACTTTCATCCATAGGCAAAATAGTTTGTACACGAGAACGACAGTCCGAGTGGTGTTTAAAGGGTGTTTTATAAAAACACAAAAAAAAGAAAAATGACAAGTAAGATAAGATACCATCAAGAACATAAAAAAATGTTTAACACATTTATTTTTTTTAATTTTAAATTTTTTATGTCTATTGTTCCCGATGATCTTGTATAGGTATGTTTTTTCATAATTATTCAGTAAAGGTACAAAAACTTTGTCAACAAAAGCTACAAATAACGTTAATCATAATTACAATTGAGGACACAGCTTCTTTGTTTCCTCTTCTAACAGTCTGTAGCAAAAGAACATGTAAAATTATTTTTCCAACGAATATAAATAGAGTTAAAATGCAAAATTTAAACTCTCATAAGTTCGAATTTTTTATAGATGGAATTTTTTTAACTTTTTTTTCATGTTCCTGGTATCTTATTATACTTGACATTTTTCTTTTTTTGTGTTTTTATAAAACACCCTGTACATAAAACTTTTTTTCCAATACCTACGTAACTTAGAAATTTATTTTTAACTACATTTGTGTATTCAAAAGAAAAGCGTACAACTGCAAACTGCGGTGCCTGGTTTTGGCAAACGGGGCTTTTTCTAACTATTATAGTCAACCAACTGAAGTAATAAATATTGACTAAAATTATAAATCTTACAACAATGTAGCTTAGGATGTAAATTAGGGTTTCCTTGGTTTAAGATGTTTATTGCTATCTATACCTACTTACATCCCATATCCATTCTTGGTAACATCTGTTTTGAAAAGTGAGAAGAAGTGAGCAATAAATATCTTTTTCTATTTCGGTGTCAGAAAATTGCATTTTATGCAACTATTTTCAGTTGCACAAAATGTTTATTGTGACACCGAAATAGAAGACAATATATTAAAAAACAAGTGTTACTTCCTCTCATTGTAATATCGTGCACTCGGATGACTTGGATAACATTGGCGACATTCCATGGCCCGCGCGCTCGCCGGATTTGACTGTAATGCGAAACTTCAGAAATCGCTTGAGACAGTGCAGCAGGGGCGGACTGGCCAGGGGTGCCGGGGTGCCACAGCACCCCGGGCCCTCGGGTCTTACGGGCCCCCAATTATGGTAGGCTTATTATGTCAAGAGCTCATTGAAATAATATCAATTATTTTAAATTTGTAAATAAACTTTCCACAATGCATAGAGCTAATCCAAGAAGTGCTGAACCGTGATTTTCGCAGAAGCTATATAAGTGTGTTTAGTTTGAAGGAATTAAAAAATTGCCATCAAAACAAATAAAAGTATAATTTCTATAATTTCAATTATTTTAGCTCAATGTTTATAAGGTCTTACACGCATGTAAGAAAAATTCCGTCCGCGCAGATTTATACAAGTGATTCAAAAATTTGTGTACTAATTTTAATCACGAATACTCCTCTACAAATGAGCGTAGATAACACAGTAATCCAACTCATCAAGCAATAGAAAAATTACAGCTTTTATAATCATCAAGAAATAATAGTAGATTATGTTATTAGGAGTAAAAGTGATTGTTTATGTGGCGAAGCTGAACGTTCATTTTGCCGAACGGAGTGAGGCAAATGGATTCAGCTGAGCCACATAAACTCACTTTTACTCCAAATAACATATACTATTTTATCTGCAAACGATTCAGATGGAACGAAAAGAGCAACACACCAATAATCAAGTAAATCACCTCAATAATCAGGACGCTTTGCAATAAAATCATAACAAACGTCACGCGTCAGTTTCGGAATTTGTGTTGAAATTTCGAAAGTGTTAATTGATTTAACTGGTGAATAACTGGTGTAGTTTATAGTGCAATATGTCGAATGCTGATAATCTACCTTGTACCTCTCCAGAAAATGCTGAAAAAGCGAAAGAGACAAGAAAGAGACAACAGTGATAAATGTCAAAGTAAGTGTCAAGTAAAAGTAAAAACGCCTAGGTGTAAAAACAGTGTTTTTACTCCATGTCTGAAAAGTAAAACTTTTACCTGTGTCATTTAGTCATAAAAGTGGTCACTTTTGTGACGTTTGCAGAAAAACAAATGTTCCTTTGGATTTAATGAAGTTTACATTAAATATGACAGCATTGACAGCGATGTGATTTGTAGTGGATTCTTTCCAAGGTACGCCCAAAATTTATAAATTCTGATTTTGTAGCGCGGTGTAGAATTTACTTTAAACTCACATAACTCGAGAACGGTACATTTTGGCGATATGAAACTACCCTTCTTATAAAAAAAATGTTTGGGCTGTATCAAAAACAGAAATTAATAAGCCGAAAAAAAGTTATGATCCCAACACTGGAAGGACCCATTGCTACCGAAAATGTATAGCTTCTACAAGAGTTCCGTTTACACCAAATCAAAGAGTGTCTTTTTGTCTATGCAAAATTTAATAATAATCGGATAAACGGTAACAAAAATATTTCCAGAAAATCATTTTTTCATAACGACTTTTGGAAAGTTGTAATTTTTCTATTTTTTGAGTTGGGTCAATAAATACTGTACTATCTATTCTCAATTGTAGAGGGGTGTTTGTAATTAAAATTATGCCACACATTTTTTTAGTCAACCGATATAAAATATCGTTTTTACTTAAATGAATTTAATTTTAATTTTTTATTTTTTTTTATTAGGTATTATTAGTGGGCATAAATAAATGGAAAAAT